CCTACACTAAAAACATCATAAACAAAAGAAGCATACATTAGTCCATTGACTTTCGGTTATTAATTCAGTAGGATCAACACGAGTCTCATTGTAAAGTTGGGTCAAATATCACGATACTTTATAGCATCATTCAACAAATTGAAAGTAAAATTCCAACGGGTAGGAGTATCAATAGACCATTGTCTTTTACTAACTGTTTGAGTTATCCTAATCCATTTTACAATTGTTCTAATTGGGTTTAGCAATGGTTGCAACTCATCGAGACCCTCTTGGACAGACAAATTCAAAATATGAGCACAACATCTAACATGCAAGAGACTACCACCCAACAACAAATGCAAGTCGGAGTCATTTTTCAAATAGCCAATACACTTTGTGTTTGCATGTGCATTATAAAGAGACAAAGGAAAAACTTTATTATTCAAGTGGAATTCTTTTAAACAATCCAAAATAAGAACTTTTATGTTAAAACCGGTATGTCTTTCTTCCATAGCTTCAAAACATAGTATACAATTTTAAATAAACTAATCATCATCCACCCAAGGAGTAGTAATGTAAAGAAAAGGTTCTCCCATACTAGAAGTCCATGTATCACTTGTAAGCCTAACACAACCATCATAAGTACGAAATAATTCAACAAACCACTCCTATACTTATAATAAGAAGTTTGTGTATTACGTCTTAGGGTATTTCGGGGGATACGAGTAAATGAAGGTTGTAATGCAACTTTATTAAAATACTCAACATCTGCATTTTCACCGTAACAAAAAGGGTATTTATTTTGCAATAACTAAAGTACTCATTTCATCAATCATTCTATCTTTATTATAAATGAAAGGTGTACCTCTGCCTGGTAGATGGCTCGAGTATCCGTTGGATTTTTTATTCAATTATACAAAGTAGTCGTTGGATTAGGTGGGTTGGGCAAGTTGGGTTGGGTGGGCTGGTGGGTTATGCGGGTTGGTGGGTTGGGTGGGCTTGTGGGTTATGCGGGTTGGTGGGTTAGGTTGGTTGTGCATGATGGGTCAAATTAGGTGGTTTCGTGGGTTGGGTAGGTCGAATCATGTGGGTCAAAGTGGGTTGAACAAGTTGGGCCGAATCACATGGATCGAAATGGGTTGGGCTACAATTTTTTGACCCACGACGACACAACCACCTTTGTAGACGGGTTGTGCCGTGCAGCTCACGGTGGGCTGGGTCCAACCTGGCCCACTAGCAGGCCCAATTCTGAGATTTTGGTGGCCTAGGGGCGAATAAAAAAATGGGGCCCTAATTGACTAACAATTGAAATTATTAAGGAAAAAAATTGGGTATGCAAAATTATTGATGCTATGAAATTTTATTAGTGTAAAAACACCTTTTTAAAACATTTTCTTCTAGCATTTCTATATGCAAAGTCATTACTAATAGTTTCTACATCACTATGGTCTAACATAGTTCTCTTAATACATAAAGTAGCTAATCATTCAACCTTTCTTGACTCTTTAGGATAATGGCTGCCGAATTGAATCTGAAATCCATAAAAATAATGGTGAAAAAAAAAATAATAGAAAGAAATAAAAAAAAAAGTGACTGGGGAAATTGATATGTGAAGAACAATTGAAAGAGTATAATTTCTAGGTTATGAGGAAATCATCTTTGAGAATTAAATTTGGAAAGGAAGATAAAAAAATCAGAAAAATAATGGTTATACCTTATACCAATGAAAATCAGAAATAATTGATTTCATAAGATTATAGTACGAATTAATTTAGTTAACTTAGGGAATTGATTTGACAAATTCAACTTTCCAAAATGAAGGAACTATTTTTTAGGAGGATTATTATTGTGAAGGGATTAAAAAGGGGATGAATTGATTAACATAACATTGAAACGCTACAACGCTGCATTTAGGGAGTATTAATTTTCATACACTCACATCATTCGCTGATGCAAAGCTCTCATTTCACATAGAGATTGGGAGGTGACCATCAATCATTGCTATAGAGAGGCTAACCGTGATGCGGATTGGTTAGTTAATTTTGGGGTGAATGCGAGTGAGAAAGTTACCATTTTTGAGGCGATCCCGAAGGATCTTCGTGCTGTTTTATTGGTGGACCTTAGTGGCGTTGCTTGGGCAAGGATGGTGTCGGAGAATTAGAGTAGCTGTGTGCTAAGCTAGTTCTTTTATTTTTGTTTTAGTTGTTTGTTTTCTTTTGTGTTTTGTTTTCGTTTCTTTGTTGTTCTTTGGGGCTTGCCCCTCTCTTGCACCAAAAAAAAAGGGAGTATTAATTTTAATTTGTATTTTTATTATTTATATTTTTACAATATACGGGCTTTGGATTTTGGGGCCCTGGGCGGCAGCCCCGGCTGCCCTGGGGCAGATACGACTCTGCCTACTGGCCACCTCAAGATCTAGAAGAACCATGATCAATGTATATAATTACATGTGTTATATTATAATTCAAATGAGATTGAAGAACGACATTAATAATATCAAGTTTTGTCATCAAATTATTATTAATGAATGTTTTATCAAATAATAATCATCAATTTCTATTATTCACGACTTCCAGAAGAAGTTGTAACCACATAAGTTCAACTTTTAAATCAACTGTTAAACAGAGATTTGAAATAAGATATTAGAGAAAAACACTTGTATGGTGAAATGAATACACTTCACATGTTTATGTGAAGACTTGAAGATGCAATTTCAGTTTGGGAGGATCGAAGATCAATGAATGCTATTTTACCACTTATGAGAAGATATTCAACTATATTGGATTCATTGATGCATGACTAGAAGATCTCAAGTTATAGTTATGTATTCATCAGGGAGAGAAAATACGCGCTGCACTCTTCTTTCCTTGACCATGGTTTTGTCCCACATTGAGTTTTCCTTATAAGGTTTTTAATGAGGCAACATCTTGAGTGTATTACGAAGAATGTTGTACTCTTTTTCCTTTATTAAACTTTTATCCCAAAGGGTTTTTCCTAATAAGGTTTTAACGAGCCACAATCTTCGATAATGGACATCCAAGAGGGAGTGTTATGAAATATTGTGTGGATGACCATTATATTTCTTATATCATTCCTGAATATTTTAGATATAGGGTTTATTCTTATCTATATATATATTTGTGGATGTTCTTCTTGTATAATTCTAGAACAACTAAATTTTAGGGTTTATTATTCTCCAAGAAAACCATATCAATTGTGTATTAAACACATATGTATACCTTCATCATATAAAATACAAGGAGAATACATAGATTAATTCTTTCTCAATTCTGATATTTTCCCTTATTTTCACAACAACAAACAAATAATTGTTGATTTTGTCAAGTATTTTATTTTTAAGTAATACTCTTTATTGTATTTTTAAAAACGGTAATCATTATATTTTCTATAATATTTTTTTTTTTGAAAAAAAATAATAATAAAAAAAGGGTTTTTCTAAGTTATGCCCCCAAACTTCCTCGATTTCTAAGTTGTGCTTATGCTTTTTCAAACGTCTAAGTTGTGCCCTTAACCTAACTAATTTTTATTAACAATAACATTTGACGTTAACAATAACTTTTTTTTTATTAACAATAACATTTGACGTTAACAATAACATTTTTTTAAAAAAATTTACAGCGTTAAACCAATTAGAACGAGACACGTGTCAAATTAGTAACGCCACGACACCATTGCTGATAAAATAACTTAACTTTCGTTAACAAAAATGGTTGTCAAAGGGTATTGTTGATAAAATATCATGAGGTGGAGGCTACAACTTATAACTTTGAAAAAAGTACTCCCTCCGTGTTTTTTTAAGTGTTACACTTACCAAATCCGGTCGTGTTTTAATAAGTGTTACATTTCCTTTTTTGGCAAAAAGCTACATTAAAATATTACTCCCTCCATTTTTAAATACTTGCTCCACTTTTCTTTTGCGGACGTTTTTAAATACTTGCTCCATTTCCTTATTTGGAAAGATTTTACAATATTTAATTAATTTCTCTCACATAGTGGACCCAACATATATTCTCTCTCCTCCAATTCTCTCCACTAATTTTGCTTTCTACAATTTTTTATTTTCCACCAACCCCTCTACCTCCCTATTTTATTATTTTCTCCAATTTCTCCTAAAACTCCGCGCATTGAGAAATGGAGCAAATATTTAAAAACGGAGGGAGTACATCTCTCTCTCCTCTCATGGTCCCCACCTAAACCCACTACTACTTTATTATTATATTTATCCTCTCACATTCATTAATTTTCAATAAACTATTAACTCCACTATCTTTCTTTTACAATTTTTTAATACTTTAACTACCCCACCTACCTCTTATATTATTTAAGTCAATTAAATTGCCTAAAATTATGTGGCAGTCAAACTGTAACACTTAAAAAAAATACGGAGGGAGGGTACAACTTAGAAATTCAATAAATTGGGAGGCATAACTTAGAAAAAACCCCTTAAAAAACAGATGACATGTGTTATTGTTGGTATATCTTTTAATATATATTTTTATATTTATTGATTGATTATAAATGTTTTCATCATAATTATCAATCAAGTGAGTGAGCATGAGGACATTAACTAATTTATGGAATCCATTTAATCGCTGCAAATGATGAGGGCTGAAAAAAAACACAAGAAGAACAAAACCCTTACATACCGACTCTTGGTTAAACCATAGAAGCCACAAGGTAAACAATCACAAGGATCGGCGGCCAGGTTGTGAGCATCTGATCAACAACAGTTGGGCTGTTGACCACGATGAGCGGATCACCACTAGCCGCGAGCACGGCATCGAATCCAAAAGGAAAAATACACCCAACTGCACAGGTCACTGGCGGCCTTCCGCACTGCTGCTAAGGGGCTGGGATTTGACTAGGAAGAGCGGAATCAAATCAATGTTAAGACAGATACATGCAACAAAGTTTGTAGTCATAATCAACCCTTAAATTCATAAATTGTATGAAATTCCCTACCATTCTTGATACATTGGGAATTACGGGAAAACAAAAAATAAAAACAAAATAAAATACATTGATAATAAATTAATTTGAAGTTTGAATTCTCAGTGGCTAGTGGCAAGAATAATTTAACTTATACATCTCATTGAATGAGCTGGTTATACTGGGACAATTACAAAAATAAATACATCAACAGAAATGACAGCCCTCAAACAGCTCATTTTGTTATACAGATTTAAATTACATAAAGAGTCAATAAGAATATGGTAAACATACAGTAGATAGTACACATGACAAAAATTCTACGTGAAAGCAATATTTTCGATCAGCAACCTTAGACTGAGATATTACTGAGATGGTATTAGAAAGAATGAACAAACTATAAGACAGGCAATGGTGTCAGCACATCGGCCTTCAGAATAAACAAAACAAATATATAAAGGAGGTAGCCAATATCACCAACACAGGCGACAAAATATTGGTTGTGTGAGCACTGTTTGTTTTTGAGTCTTTTGACACTGCCTTTGTTGAGTTTTCATCACATTCGAGGCCGTTTTTACCCTCTTTGCATTCATTCGCAAAAATGCCCGGTGGGTATTTACCAAAGAGATTTATGTAGCTAAACATAGTACTTGCACAGTTATTAGTCAGGTCATTAAGGTTGTCTGCGAAAGGGCAAGCAAACTCCTTGAAGGCCTTGCAACAAATATCAGCTGGATACTTTGGTCCTTTGCATTTGTCAGTGATGATGGTGTAGTTTTGACCTTCAAAATTTATTGGGCAATCTGCACATCACATGAAATAGATTAACTAAACAGAGCAAAATTCATTGAAGCCCGCTCACGGAACCCTAGTACAACCTACTCACAAACACAAGGAACTAATGAAGCTGTACGATGCTAAAATGCTAGCAGGAGATTGGGGTTATATAATATATCCTCTCTATCCAAACAATCTATAGAAAGAATCAATCGATGATCAGCAGCATAGATGATCACCAGATATTAATTTCCCAAAGCTCAAGCATGGTTTAATGCAACAAATCTTTAATACAACTCGCTTATCACACAATAACATATAACTTCGCAACACAAAAACTACATGCTACAATATTATCTCAAATACTAGCTCAATTCACTAAAGATACTTATTTCCCCAACAAAACACTAGTAAACTCCTATACAATACAAGTATTTTCATAACACAGTATTTCTAGCAAGTCATTGTTATTTGCCTATTTCCCATTCCTTCCATACACTAATTGAAACACTTTCTCGCTTATGATCGATATTCATTAGAAACCAAATGCTAAAGACTACTGCTACAAAAATAACTGGCAAAACTAAAGTAAACTTCAAACCCTTACAGAAAACATATTAAACAGACTGATCTTCAGCATAATTCAAAGAAATTGTAACGACGACACGGCCCACACCAGCAGTAAATAGAAACAATGTGAAACCTTTATTTAAATCACTCAAACCGAACACAATATTACCCCAATGAAATAAAAATTAACCACAATTTCAATCTTTGGTACTAAAATTGATATTAACATGCTTAATTTATCTCCTTCAAAAAAAAAAAAAAAAAAAAAAACATGCTTAACTTGGCAGCCAAATCAAAATCAATAACCGAAAACGTAATATCTAGCTGATCTGCTCGTTCCAGAAACAAATCAACAAATCAATAGCCTGAAATAATACACTAGTTTTGTCCTTATCCTTGAAAGTTGAAATTATCTAGTAATTAATGAAAATAAATCATATCTACAACAAATCAAAACATTTGAGATTTTAAAAGATAATAATAAGTACTTTTCTGGGTCTGAAGCAAAGAGCGGCCGGTAGATCTATGAGATTCAAAAATGGCATCTGCATAAAAATAATAAAAATCAGAAACAAAAAAAATAATCAAAACCCAGCTTTAAGATAATAATTTCAATACAGTAATAAGAAAATTCCATCGCAGAAGAAAATCGTACCAGAAATGAAGCTGGAAGATGCCAAACTAAAGAGAAGCAAGAAAACGATGGAACCCAAATATCGATTTATCAACATTTTTCAAAGAAAAAAAAAGACCAGAAATATGAGCTGGGTTATTCAAATTACAGACCAATCAATCAATCAGAAGTTTAATTGATCGGCAATAATTGATTCTGGAACTTCCTTCACCTTATCAATGGCTGCTTTCCTTCCTCTCTCTTTTTTTTAATTAATAAATTTTTTTTGGGGAAAAAGTTATGGGTTTTGGTAGCTCCTCCTAAATTTGGAAGACAGGAGTGAGAAAAAGCGCGTATTAATATTTTAATGTAATGAAGTGTATCGCCTGTCATCTATTTCAACCTTGCAATTTTTGCAGTCTCTCTCAAATTCTTTCTTGTTACTTTATTTTCATCCTTCCACGTTTAATGGCCGCCAAAATATTCATTATATTAAATTATTAATACAGGTATTAAAGTAAAAATGTTTGTTTGCTTTTACTGTTTTACAAGCGTGCCTATACGAATAATAGTCATCCCTGCGTCCTTTTATTACAGGTATAAATGTATAATGCATGAATTTTTTTTTTAATCATCAAAATTAAGTGGTTTTTTTTTATAGATTGTACTTTCTACAATATTATTCTCTTTTTGATGATTTGTCATTTTTTTTTTTTTTTTTTTTTTTTTTTTTTTACTTTAACATCAATTCTTAATATTTTTTTTCTCTCCTAATTTCCAATCACTTTTTCTTTCTCTCTATCTCTCTTTAACCCCACAATATTTATACTCCTAATTATTACTTTTAAGGAATCTTTAACTTTGTTAATTTTCATGCAAAATAAGAAATAGACATATAATAAATTGACGGAGGAAGTATTATAGTAATTCTCTAGTGTTATGGTTTACCTAGCATAAATGTATTATTGTTTTTTTTTTGTCCTTCATTCTTCCTCCTCCTTCATATCTCAACAACAGTGCCAGATATGACCTAGTAACACATTAAACAACAAACCCAGCACCGTCAACTCCACAATAAACCTCAACCCCAACACCAATATTTCGACAGCGAAATAACGAAAACCCTAAGAAAAATATAATTCATCCTTTTCATAATAATCGCAACATTTTCACTGCCACAAATATCAATGTTCAACTTTAACCACTTATATTTGTAATTATATAATATAAAGAAGTATAAAAGGTTAGTATTATCATAAAGACTACTTATGAAATATTTAATATATCAACATATGTTTTTAGACATATATCGATAAAAAGTATAGTCAAAGTAAGCACATGTATAGTGTGAGGAGGGTAGCCCATCGTTGGGGATCTCATTTCCCTTATGCCCATGGCCCTTTAAAAGTCTAGGATTTACACTTTTAAGGGTGTATTAAGATTTGAATTCCTAACTGTCTAGGGAACCTTGAATTAGAAATGAGTCTATCATTACCCTTTTTTTTTTATTAAAAACCAATAAATAGTCTCCAATGAATATTAGGAAAATCCATAAACTTCGTTCATACCTTTCTCCCTTGTATAGTTCAAGAGATATTTAGCACAAATCATAAGTTTACTCATGCCCAAATTGGTCTACAAATACCAGAAATGAGTTAAGGAGCAAGGGTACAAAGACAACATTCCTTTTGAGGGAAATTGCCCTCCTTTCCCTAGTGAGGCCTCTTTTATCTCTACCTTTTTCACAATTTCATCGCCAAATAATATATGCAACGTAATACCTAAAACAAAGTTAATTGATTTTATATACACTCAATCACGAAAGGATTATTTTAGGGAATAATTTCAAGCATCTCACACTTGAGCCCCACTGTGATCATACACTAAAGAATGGTGGCGTCCAAAGGGAAAGAAGTTAGAGTAAAAGAGTCGCCAACAAGTTTTAGTCAACCGTTCATAGGGTGAAGATTACACCCCTTCACGATCCATGAAATCGCTAACTCTATAGTGGTCTGGAATCATGACTGAATATTCGAGGACGAAGGTACAAATACAACCTAAAAGAGATTGAACCTGCCCAAAAAATAGGTGTACACCCATTTGTGTCTCCCCAAAACCAAATCCGGTGATGAGTACCTTTCGCGTCGAATCATAATCGAATGAAGTGAAAGTGTGAAAAATCTAGTGTTACGGATAGTTTTAACTCTATTCTCTTCTCTCTGTTTTTGAAAACCTGTTTTAAGAAAACAGTCAATCCAGTTTGCTTTGGTCCATATCAAGGGTCCAATAATGGTGTAGTTAGATGGGGTTTGAAAAGAGCTTTCCAACGATATATTATAAGCCCAATTCCGATGAATAATGAGGAAGTTATGGCCAAAATACTAAACTGGGTCCGATTTGGTTTTATATGCGGCCCAATGATCTAGAGGAGGGCCTATTATTAATTATCATTCCTAAAGCTATTTGGATTGATTATAGTCTTCTATAATACTCTAGAAGGTTCTTTCAAAATCCTAATGGAGTTAGAATTGATAATTATGTTTCAAAGAGTTTGAAATTGAATAAAACTACTCCTTTTTAGAATCCTTGTGTTTGTACGAAGTGGAATATATTCAGATTTTATTTTCGTGCCTCATAATCTTTATCCAAATTTTATATGGTTTGATAGATCTTGAAATTATCTTTCCAATGATATATTATAATATTAAATCCAAGCTAACAAAAAAGATATGAAAAAGATATGAAACTCTATCCAAAACTGACACCCTTCCACTATTTCGGTGTGTCTAATGCTAATGTATAATGAATTGTGTTTGTAAAAGTCTAGGCTAGAAAGAGAGAGAGAATCAAGAAATTCTTGATGAGAGTTGGTGAGAAGAAAGAATTAGAAAGAATAAGAATTGATGATTGTTGAAAATTGATGATTGAAAACAGATTTTTAAGAGGCTACTTATAGAGAAAAACAGTCGGATGGATAAAAAAACGAATCAGAGTTTCAACAAGAATAAAACACGATTATCATTAGCGCCAGGCGCCAAGCCTTAGCGCCAGCCAGGCGCTAATGCTTGTCGTCAGGCGCTAATAATCAATTTCACGCATTTTTTGTTTTTATCATATCTTTTGATCCGAAAGTCCAAATAAGGCATATAATATGTCGTTGGAAAGATCTTGAAGTCTTCTTTTAAACTAATTAATATCAGATAAAAATATTTTGTAGATAAAAAGATATGGCCGACATAGTGAAAGGGTGTTAGTTTTGGATAGAGTTTCATATCTTTTTCGTTATAGCTCGGATTTAATATTATAATATATCATTGGAAAGATAATTTCAAGATATATCCAACCGTATAAAATTTGGATAAAAATTATGAGGCACGAAAATAAAATCTGAATATATTCCACTTCGTACAAAACAAGGATTCTAAAAATGAGTAGTTTTATTCAATTTCAAACTCTTTGAAACATAATTATCAATCCTAACTCCATTAGGATTTAAAAGAAATTTCTAGAGTATTCTAGAAGACTATAATCAATCCTAATAGATTTAGGAATGATTATTAATAATAGGCCATCCTCTAGATCATTGGGCCCCATATAAAAACCAAATCGAGCCCAGTTTAGTATTTTGGCCATAACTTCCTCGTTATTCATGGGAATTGGGCTTATAATATATTATGAAAGGTCTTTTCAAGCCCCATCCAAATACACTATTATTGGACCCTATGGACCAAACTAAACTGGAATGCACGTTTTTCATAAATAAGGTAAGAAAAGAAATATTTTCAAAAATATAAAGAAGAGATATTTTAATAAAAACATCCTCATCACTAGACTTTTCACACTTTCGCATTGTTCGATAATCAAATGACATGAAAGGTATTCATCACTGGGTTTGGTTTTAGGGAGTCACATTTAGGTGTATACAGGTCCCAAATCTCTATTTCAATTATTTAATTTAATTGTTTGATTTATTATTTTCCTTGAAGTTACTAATGCGTGTATGTTGTTATAAGAAAGAGGTACGAGGCATCCAAGTAAGTGATTCAATTGATTTATTGATATTATGATATTGAAATCATGTTTAGGTTGTTATTATGATTCCTAGTGTCATGTTAGGGCGTTTTGATCTTCCTAGTATCATGTTTAGGGTAATTTCTAATATCAAATATGACAATTGTGATTCCTGCGATGCTTCCTATTTTCTTCCTAATATTCATGTTAGTATCATGTTTGGGTTAAAGCTTTGATTTTTAATGTTTAGTGACATGCTACGGTTTATTATTAATCTTGTTAGTATCATGCCTAGTATCTTGCTATTATTATGCTTTAACATGATTATGATGATTATTATGGTTATTATGATTGTTATTATGTTGCTTGATTATATTTATTGTTATTGCTTGATCACACCTTTTATGCATGTTTAAAGGGAATTGGTACTTGTAATCACGCTTAATAAGATAATTAATAATCTTGTTTAGGGTTAATTTGATTATAATTCAAGTGATCGCCAATAATATTTTCGTTTGTGCATTAATATTCAACCAACAAAGATAAACAGGTTTAGGGTAAACCTATTGATTGCATGTTAGTCAGAAAGCGCACATGAATACGATCAGAATAAAGTAGAGACCTATTATTAGGGCAGGTTCAATCTCTTTTAGGTTGGATTTGTACCTTCATCCCCGAACTACCAGTCATGGTTCCAGACCTATTGGAGTTAACGTTCTCCTGGATCGTTAAGGGGTGTAACCTTCACCTCGTGAACGGTTTACAAGTTCCTAAAACTTGTTGGTGACTCTTTTGCTCTATCTTCTTTGCTTTTGGACGCCACTGTACTTTAGTGTATGATCACAGTGGGGTTCAAGTTTGGGGTAATACTTGAAATATTCCCTACAGTTTTTGGCGACTCCACTGGGGAGGATTTCTATTTTAATTCCTGGAATTTATTTTGGCAATGATTTAGAATGAGTGGATGAGACTGGAAAAGTTCTAAGTATTTCATGTGCGTAATTTTGATTAACATTATTGTCATATGCATAAAAAAGATCTCATTGGAAAGACCATCCGTAATGAGTTAAAACGTAGGATTTTTACACGTAGGAAATTTGAGGAATATCTTTCACAACTAGGATCGAAATAATGCTGCGCGAAACTAGAAAATTTTATTGAGCACAGAAAGCTGCTGAGGCATGTAGGAACTAGCGTCAAAAAGCAAAGTCTAGCGCCAATTATTTGACGTTAGCGCCAGGCGATAGCTTCTGTCGCCAGGCGCTAAAGCCAAAATGTGGCGCTGGCCTCTGTTTGCTGGCGCCAAGTTCTTCCAATACCGAGCCAGAAATATGCGTTCAATTTTGACCAGTTTTTAGCACTGTTTGCTCGATCCTACTTCCTGATTGAGTTTTTCTCACTTTTCTGAAACCCATATGTGTTCTACATATGGACATAACCCTCTGGGAATTCA